CGGAAAACATTTGCCGATCAGTAATTTTGCGAGAAAAACTGACATGAAAAAATTGCGAGACTGTAGGTCGAGCAATTTTGTCTAATGTCAGTTTTTCCATCAAAATAACTGAAGGAAAATGTTTGAGTTAGTAAGGAAATTTATCTTATAAAAAAAAAATCAAGTGTTTTTTGGCAAGATAAATCAACGACAATATGCAAATAAACAACAATAATGATTACCTTTATTGATGATTCCGTGTAACTGGTAGTTTGCGGGATCGATTTACTCATATTTCCGTGGTTTCTTCAGACAAAATTTTCCTTAAACGCCTTATCTTGCTAATTTACGCGTGAACCATACCCATCAATCAAACTAGACACGACCGAAATTGGAGTGATTTCAGGTGAAAATAGCTACTAGATCAAAGGGGCAGGCAGTTTATCAGCGATAAAAATGGCGAATCCTTTTTAATCGACGTCAAAATGACTCATGTCGTCGTCAAATAGCGTGTAGGAGTTGATTTATCACTACTTATACTGAAAAATCAACATCTTTCTTAAATTCAAATTTTCATTTCCATTGAAGAAGCAATGCCATTCACCGAGTATATTCATATATAATATCACAAGTGATAATATTTTGCCGGAAATATTCGGTGATTGTTAGGACAGCTTGTTGCCTAGTAATTTCGTGAATGACATTGTTATCAAAACTACGAGCCGTAGGCAAGTAGTTTTGGATCAGTCATGAGCGAAATTAGAGCAGCAAGCTGGAGTATGTCAATCGACGAATATTTCCAGGAAAAATAGTATCACGAGTTGTATTCCTATGACTATTTCATGATTGAATGAGACAATATACAGGGTGTCCCATAATTAGCCTGCCAAACTTCACCAGCGAGTTCTACGACCAAAAATAGATAGAAAAGTTCGAATGAACATAGGTCTCAAAATGGCTCCTAAGGGAGCTACGGCCACCTTAAAGGGGGCTTCTGAAGATGGTATTTCCTGAATATTTCCGAAACGCCGTGAGATAAAATGATGAAATTTGGTACAAGAACTAAACTTTTCATGCTTAAGGCAGTGGAGATAAAATGATTTCAAAATTTGATTTATGAGTATTTAAAACAGGGTGGAGCTACTCTAAATATCACCCTAATTTTTTTGTATGCAATTTTTTCGACGATTTGGTCTCGGATTATGAATATCTGAACATTTTTACAGAAGAAAGGTACTCTTGTTCCATGTTGATCAGATGAACCATTTTCGAGTAAAATCGATTCAAAAATATCAATAAATCTCAAGAATAACGCACAATATTGCAATATCAAATCATAGTGGCTATGGCAATACTTATTAATACATTATACGTGAAGAACGCCCTTATTGCATGATGTCCTCGATATGAATATGCGAAATCTTATTAATGGTCATAGAAATTGTTCGAATAAATTTCCATTGTTATCAATGCATAATCTCGCTCGACGACTTATTGCGCTTGTGGCTCTCAGAATTTGAAAGCGATTTCCTCTGAGTTCACTTGCTGCCAACTCTATTCGTTGAAGTAATTCTTCATGTGTGTTCACCTCAGTTTTATAAACCAACTCTTTCATATGACCCCATAAATAATAATCTAGCGGGGTTCAGGTCCGGTGAACGTGGTGGCCAAAGAATGGGACCATTACGGCCTATCCACCTTCCAGGAAAAATCTCACTCAACCATGCCCTAACGCGCTGTAATGTGCTGGAGCCCCGTCGTGTTGGTAATACATATTTTGCCGTACATTGAGAGGCACATCTTCCAAAAGTATGCCTAGGTTATTCTGAAGAAAGTTATGATACCCATCAGCATTCAGGCGGTTGGGTAGGACGACAGGACTAATTAACTGATCCCCTATCATTCCTGCCCATGTATTTACAGAGAAACGATGTTGAAAATTAGAACGTCGGACCACTCTGGGATTATCATTTGCCCATACATGGGTGTTGTGCATATTGAACACTTCGTTTCTGGTGAAGATGGATTCGTCGCTCCAAAGAATGTTCGATTTGATGTTCTTATTTTCTAAAATCCATTGGCAGAACTGAATCCTGGGCTGAAAATCGCCTGGCAATAAATCCTGCACACGTTGGTATTGAAATGGATGAATTCCTTGAATTTGTAATATTCTCCCTATCTGAAATCAATCAACTGTTATTTCATTGCCAAACTGTGTACTCACATTCCACATTACTGTTGCCCTAGGCACGTTAAAATTTCTGGATACAGTCCTTATACTAATGTTCGGATTATTATCGATGACATTCAGAATATTCTCCATGTTATGTCCTCTTAAAGGTCTTCCATGCCCAGGAACACGTTGAAAATTGCCATGATCACTCAAGTTTCTATGAGTATTAACGAATACTTGTCGCCCAGGTATTCTTCTGTTCGGAAATCTCCTCCGATATTCTCGCTCAGCCTCTCGTGCATTGCCATTACAAAATCCGTACAAAAAATGTATGTCTGCATATTCCTGATTTGTGAATTGTGGCATTTTGTAACAATACAATGTACATTCAAATATCAATTGCTTAGTGTGTTCTGCAAAACATGCGTGTCAACAAATATGACAACTATCAAAACTAACTGGCACCCTTTTTTTTTCATAGCCACTACGATTTGATATTGGCAATATTGTGCGTTATTCTTGAGATTTATTGATATTTTTAAATCGATTTTACTCGAAAATGGTTCATCTGATCAACATGGAACAAGAGTACCTTTCTTCTGTAAAAATGTTCAGATATTCATAATCCGAGACCAAATCGTCGAGAAAATTGCATACAAAAAAATTAGGGTGATATTTAGAGTAGCTCCACCCTGTTTTAAATATTCATAAATCAAATTTTGAAATCATTTTATCTCCACTGCATTAAGCATAAAAAGTTTAGTTCTTGTACCAAATTTCATCATTTTATCTCACGGCGTTTCGGAAATATTCAGGAAATACCATCTTCAGAAGCCCCATTTAAGGTGGCCGTAGCTCCCTTAGGAGCCATTTTGAGACCTATGTTCATTCGAACTTTTCTATCTATTTTCGGTCGTAGAAGTCGCTGGTGAAGTTTGGCAGGCTAATTATGGGACACCCTGTATATAAGAAATAGGAACCATAATTTAAGTATATTCCAACTCGAACTGCGAAGAAGAACATAATGATAGTAATGAAATACAGAATTTACTTTTTTAGAAATTAACTACCTACTTATAGTTATTCACAAAGTGTAATGTACAATTTTGATAAACAGTATTTTTTTTATTATCTTGGAGATGGTTGCTCTCAAAAGAGTGTATACAAATACTATCCAATTCAAACAAAATAAATTGAATTCATGTGGAATAATTAAAAAAAATATATCGTCGTCGTGGGCTCGAACCATCGACCTTCGTATCCTCGCGCAACAACCCTAACAGTTGCGCCACATCAGCTAGTAATTATATCAGTCAGTCACAATTACTTGAGTATTTGAAGAAGATTACTTCAAAAAGGAATTTGAATTCTATTATTGTTGTGTCAGACCGTCAACAAATATGCAAACTTTTTAAATTACACATGAAACGTCCAGCCAGAATAAAATTGTCTCGCCTTTCGTACAAAATATCTCACTAACGCGAATTATAAGTAAATAAAATAAAGTAGGAACTTAGGTTATTGTCTCAGATTTGAATCCAAAGCAATCTTGACCAGTCATGATGTCAAAATTTTATCGCTGATTAACGAGGTTAGTTGGTCACGTGTGGGTCAATTCGGCTTCTGTATTGGTAGAGCAACTCCGATAAAATTTAATAAACAAAAAATATCGCTAGAATACAAAAGAAACCATGAAAATAGTCGATTCTGATTGGTTTTCGAGATCAAGAGTGGAATAGTCAGCAATAATCTCTTCTAAAATTTTGATATATCATGTATAGCCTAGGGATTCAGTTTTCAAACAAACTAAAAGGAAATTCGACTTGGCAGTCCGACCAAAAGTCATAGTTATTTGAATTCAAATGCACACAGGATAGTGACAGCTCATGTATAATTTGTGTTCGTGACATTTTTAGAATAAATAATAATCACATTATTCAAAACATTTTTCATACCTTAAAAATGGTTTAAGCTGTAATGAGATTTGTATATTTGGTTTTAAGAATGTTTCATTTTTCATTGGTTGCATATGCATTGGTATTTATGTGTGTATATAGAATATCATTGACCCTATTGGCAGTTTTATCTACCAAGGATCAATTTATCCAAGAGTATTACTTTTCATCAGAGAAAATCTTAGAATAATGGTGATTTCTCAGGTGAGTGGTGAAAAAAATCACATTAGCATAGGCTGTCCCCATTTTAGAACATGGTGAGTGAACGTGCTAGACAGTAGCCACGTCAGTGGGTCGGTAAGCTAGTAGTGGAAAAAACAAAGTACCTATCACCTTCACTCGTACTCCTTGACGATCAGGTCCCCGATCACCAACCTCTGTACGTCGTTCACCCCCCCCCCCCCCTCCGTGATCCTGGCGTCCCGGTAGTTTGCGGAATCGATTTACTCATATTTCCGTAGTTTCTTCAGACAAAATTTTCCTAAAACGCCTCATCTTGCTAATTTACGCGTGAACCATACCCATCAATCAAACTAGACACGACCGAAATCGAAATTGGAGTGACATCAGGCGCAAATAGCTACTAGATCAAAGGAGCAAGCAGTTTATCAGCGATAAAAAAGGCAAATCCTTAGTTGCATACGCATCGGTATTTATGTGTGTATATAGAATATCATTGACACTATTGACAGTTTTATCTACCAAGGTGAAAGTTACCTACTTATCAATTTATCCAAGGTTTCATGAGTATTACTTTTCATCAGAGGAAATCCTAGAATAATGGTGATTTCTCAGGTGAGTGGTGAAAAAAATCACATTAGCATAGGCTGTCCCCATTTGAGGACATTTTGAGCGAAAGTGCTAGACTTTAGTCACTTCAGTAAGTTGCAAAGCTAGTAGTGGAAAAACAGTAGTTTAAAGTACCTATCACCTTCACTCGTACTCCTTGACGATCAGGTCCCCGATCACCAACCTCTGCACGTCGTTCACCCCCCCGTAAATCTCCGTGATCCTGGCGTCTCGGTAGTGCCGCTCTGCCGGCATATCGGTGACGTAGCCCATGCCGCCCAGGATCTGGATGGCGCTGTGAGAAACAAAAGTGGCCGCCTCGCTGGCAGCCAACTTGGCCATCGAGGACTCCTTGGTGGTCCTGCGCGGTTCGTCGCAGCACAACGCCGCGCGCCAGACCAGCAGCCGGGCCGCTTCCAGTTTCAGCGACATTTCGGCTAGCCGCAACTGGAAATATAATAATGAATAATTTTTTTTTTCTGTGACGGGAAAAAAGTTTGGCATTTCAGCTCTGTTGGCAGGTTATAAAATGTCACTTTTCATGAATTACTTTCTTCCCACGGGAAAAAGTGAGTACTTTTTTCCCGAATATATATCACATATATATATACACTGTTGATGGCTTTTGTTGTGTTATAGTTCCGAAAAATGAGTCAATAATACCGTCTCCGAGAAAGAACTGCAAGTCCTTTTATCTTCCACTCGACTTCGCGGTTACGTATATTACTAAACAACCACTAAATTCGCAATTTTTTTTAAATCAAATCACAGAATTAGACTGACAGAAGTGACATCAGATATTTGATTACTTCAAAAGTATGATAAAAATGCCTACAACGCAGGTGTCCCTACTGTTAAAAACTAAAAATTTCACGTCAATAATTTTCAGATTTCAAAATAATGTAATATCTTCTCAATATTGAGACAACCTGGAGCTAAAATCTACTACTTTTTTCCCCTTGTATAATAAATAACTATTATTGAATCCTTCACAATCATAAAAAATGACATAGGATACGTCAGACAACAAGAAATTCACACACAATTTATATACAGATACATGAAAATATTACAGAATATTCGGTCTGTAAGCTTTCCTAGTACCACAAAGTATATGAAGATATATGAAATGCATTTCATCGGACCATCATATACAAACAGTTACATGGGAAAAACGAAATAGCTTCGCACATACCGAAGAAACCCATGTATCAAATGAAACCAGGAGAATAAATGATCTCTCGATAACTGAATTTAAGAGACTTTTCATCAGTGACGTAGACTTTGTGAATAACTTCAGTAGCTTTACCTTCGCAAATATTAATGAAGCTGTCGGAACTTTCTGGGAACATTTTCATTGGTGTTTTGAAGCAGCATTCCCCAAATTTTCAAAACCGAAAAGTCGCCAAAATCGTTGTGAGAATAAAATTCTTCTATCTGTCCCGCTTAGAGAAAAAATCAATTACCTGAAACATCTAAATCATCTGAAGAAGTTGAATATTCTTGAAAACGGTAATACCACTTATAAACTAGCCAAGAAAACGATTGAAAATGAAATACGACAAGAAAAAGTTGTTTATTTAATGAAAAAAATCCATGAGTCGAATAACAAAAATAAAACACTGTGGAATATAGTTAAGAAACCGAGAAACATCGACGTAGACAAACAAATAATTCTAAATTATGAACTGAAAACTATCACTGAAGAAACAGAAGTTGCTGAAACTTTTGGAAAATACTTTTCAACCATAGTAGAGAAAAAGCTGAAAATGCATTTTGCTGAAAATGACAATGACATGGTTTCGTGTACATCAGTACCGAATGTTAATACCACCTTATTTTTTGAACCTGTTACATCAGATGAAGTGAGGAAGATTATCATCTCATTACCTGATAAAAAAAGTTCAGGATATGATGAAGTTTCTACAAAATTAATCAAAGAATGTGTTGATATACTGGCTGGCCTATTAGCGCATATAATGAACTTGTTAATGTATAACATTTGGAGAATATCCAGATATCTTCAAAATTGCTGTCATAATCCCCATTCTTGAAAAGTTAATATCTTCTAGAATCAATAGTTACTTGAAAAAATTCAACCTGTTAGCAGAATGCCAGAACGGATTTAGACGAGAGCACTGGACAGAAACTGCAACGCTTGAATTCACACAGCATATTCACAACTTGGTTGATGAAGGAAAAATAGTTATTGGAATCTTCTTCGATTTGAGCAGAGCCTTCGACACCATAAATATAGATTTTATATCAGAAAAGCTATTCAAGTTAGGAATTCGAGGAAATATTAATCAACTACTGCGGTCATTCTTATCCAATAGATGTTTTCGTGTAAAGCAAAATAACACAATGTCAGAAAAGTATGTTACAACGACAGGAACCCCACAAGGCAGTGTACTTGGGCCTTTGTTATTCTTGCTGTATATTAATGACCTCCCTAATGAAATAAGCAATGGAAAAAAATTCTTATATGCGGACGATACCTCGATCATATTATCGGGTAAAAGTGCCGAAGATATGTATCAACTAGTCAATAGAACATTAGTTGAATTTAGTAACTGGTGTTATAAGAACAGACTGATTGTTAACATGAAAAAAACATCTGCATGGAATTTTCATATTCATCTAGAACCCTACATAATTTCGAATTCAATTTTCAAAATGAATCCCTGAGGCTATCTGATTCAACAATATTCTTGGGAACGATGATCGATCCACTGTTTACATGGCATGATCATATTGATTTTACATGTAAAAAACTTAATCACTCATATTATTTGATTAAATCTCTGAAATGTAAGTTGGATGAAATCACTGATATCAGTGTCTTATGCTAAATTCCACTCTATTATCAAACACAACATTACCATTTGGGGACAGATCGAATTTTCATAAAACAAAAAGCTTTGTTGAGGTTAATTTTTTATCTAGATTATCGAACTTCCTGTAGAGACATTTTCCGCCAAAATGAAATATTAACCATAGCTTGCTACACATTCTGCAACTATTGACAGTTATACAAGAAAAGAAAGGCGAATTAAGAACAAGAAATATATGAAAGTTCCCCATGTTTGCAGGAGTTCGTCTCTACAATCTCTCAAAATTGAAAATGTTCCTGGCTGATAATTGTTTTTATTCTGTAGATGAATTAAAGGTGGCTGTAGGTACTATTTGAATAATTCTATATTTTAAATCAAATTATTAGTTGTCTTTCTATGTAAATACTTATATTTGTTTATTTTTTAAATTGTTGTTTTGTACCCTTTACTATTATGTGTGACTTGTCTTATCTATACATGTTGTAGCACAAAGGATTAATAAAATCTATCTATATCTATCTATCTATCTATCGATTGAAATATTCGTCGATACTATAAAAACAACCGTTAATCATAAATTCTTTGTCTAATTTTGAAATGATTTTCTCGTCTGTGTACATTTTTTATTTCGTCAGATAAGTGATCATAGAAATTTGCTCCCTTATAAGATGGACAATTTTCATACAGACGAGTTGAATGTTTCTGAAGTCTTATCAATTCACCATGCCTGGTAGGATACGTGTGAAAGTCACAGTTTCGATCATAATTCTGCATTTTTTGTTTCCTGAATAATATAATACATTTGTGAATATGATATAGTATAGAGATATTACAATCTGGTCGATTCTGTTCGGATCTTGTTATAACATTGCTAAGATAATAATATTGTTATGATCATAACATATAACAATATTGCTATGAAATTCTGTATTCTGTTTGCAGAGTAATTTTAAGACTGGTTATAAGTTCGAGTGATAGCAATATTGTTGAAAAATTGAGAATTTTTCAGCTGACAACACTGTTTTCAACTCATTGTTCAAGTGTTAGGTATCGATTTTGCCATTATTTCATGAAGAAGAAGAGTTCATGATTTTCTAACCTCTCATATTAATCAGTCCTGCGCTGACATTTCACAAAATTATATTGTTCAAATCGAGAGATTTTGTATTTGCTGAATCTGGTCGTCGTTGTGCGACTGGCAAGTAATCAATCATGTCCCCAAAATGAGAAAACAACTAAAAGCCGGATGAAAATAATCGTGATTTTTTTTCAATATTCTAGCAATATAGCTTGATAAACTATCCAACAGGCAACTGAAATTTCTCTGATATGCCGAAATTGTAGTCTCATATTTCCTCTACAAATTGGAACTTCAAGAAAAGGTTTTCAAGTAGTTGGTCACAGTAGTGAACCTAGAAGAAATTGTAGTGCAAAAACAAAGAATCCACTACCTTGTTATAAGATTACAAGCACAAAATTGATGTTGCCGAGATAGCAAGAAAGCTGACCAGATGTCATTGAAATTGACAGATCATATTGCCAAAAATCGATGATTAGAATTCCACTTTTTCGAATCTTGCTATGATAGCAATATCTTCTCTACAACCATACTGCTATTTGCAAACAAAATCGACCCGAATATCGGTTGAGAGTATCAACACGTTGACTGCTTGGCACGGAACCGTGCCAGACTGAGTTCTCAGACAATGCGCGTGGCACGGATCCGTGACGAATGCACATTCTAACTTTTATTGTCTTATTGCCATTATGAACTAAGCGTTAATAGGAGGTGGACGAACGTTAGCAAACATGTAACATTGGTTTCGAGCCTTATGAAAAAATGGTTCATCTTTTTTACTAATAGATTAAATATGTTCATGACACGGATCCGGACACATGTCAAAATTGACATCGGAGTTATGAATTTACATCATTTAATCCAAAAATACACTTTTCCTGATAAGAATGTTATGTTCTGCTCAAAAACAAATATCCGATTCTGGGTATTTAATTTATCAAAATGTAGCAGTGAACGTGTTAACAGGTTGAGTGCCATGAGAGACCAACATGGTCTCGCACATACTCCTGACTTTGTGGCCGCGTGAGACCAATATGGTCTCGCGTATATCCACAACTGATTTGGCTGCATATCTCCACAGCAGTCTCTCGCAGCATTGTGAACTAAATGGCGTTCGAAACAGCGCGGCCTGGTGGTCCAGAGACATATTTTGGCCTGTGGATATGAGAGACCAAATTGGTAGTACGTGGCTAGAAAATGTTAGTAATCTTTTTTTCTCACGCGAATATTTAGGTAATTTTATTAGGTTTCTTCATTTATACATCATGAACATGTAACAAAATCATTCAGAATATTCTAAGAATGAAATAAATATCATTCATTGAACGATATACCAACTGTTAGGAACTGCACTAGTCGACGGTATATCATTTCTGAATGTTTGCATTTTTCTAGCACCGACTCTCTTTTTGATTTTGGGACGTTTTCTCGGTTGTTTGGGAGATGCATTCTTCAACTATGACGAAGAATCTACTGATGACTCACATTGATATTCATCAGAAAGATACACGTTTCCAAACAGTGATTCCTCATCTTGATTGCTTCAGTTTTCGTCTTCATCGGACAACACCTCCTAACATAACTTCGTCAATTGCTTTTGTTCTTTCTCGTACGAGGACATGATGTGACTCTTGCAGCATCACGAGACAAGTTGAGCCGGTCTGCCGATCCCCCGCTACAATTCTCAACATGCAGACATGCGCATAGCGTAGTGACACGTTGGTCTCGCACAGCCGCCTGAACAAAATGGTCGAATGAGGGGCCGTGTGAGACCAATGTGGTCTCCAGAATTTAAGCGCCATTTTCAACCTTCCAAAAATTCCGATACATCAAAAATAAAAGTAAATATCAACAGTATGTTAGTATCTGATGTTTAAGGCAAAAATAATGTATCTCTGGAACCGATATTTTTTGATACATGGTGGCACTCAACCTGTTAAAAGTGACTTCATCTATATGGTGATAAGCACTATTCTATAAATTGAAATTCAGATATTGCAGGCACTTAAATCAAGTCTATCCCACGTTATTTTTCGTTCGCAAATTTTGTAAATCCCTTTGTCATTATAATTGTCTATTTGAGAGATAATGTTTTGTTTCAATAGATGGCATGGAAAGAGCTTTTAAACGATCCTCGCTCATTAAATTTCTGAGAAACGTTTGATGTTGGCATGAGAGTTGCACAACAATTTCTATTATAGCGAATTCCATTGGTAGGAACTGGTGGAGTGTTTCTGCACTGACTGTAAATTTATATATCTGGTTAACACATGTCAGTAAGAAGGAAACATATACATTGAGTGCAGAAACACTCCACCAGTTCCTGCACCTCATTTTTATCAAATGATGATAGAAATCTGCAGCTGGCTCTCCTACTATTCAAAGTGTGCCGGAAAAACAAATAGCGCAATTATGCCAACATAAAAGCGCAATATCTAATGAAGAAGCGCAACATTACTAAAATAAATGTGTCAAACTGAAGCATCACTGATTTCTTATACCATGTGCATTTCATATTTCGTATCATGTAACGAATTTGCGCATGTGTATCATCTGACATTTCGTCTTCGATCATTGCAATCAGCGACAGGTCAGATATAAAATATTGCTCATGAAGCTAAGTTAACTACCTGAGCGCAGACAAGACACAAGTCTGAGATGTTTGCAATATATCCATATCCGGCAACAGCGTGTGCGTAATATATCAATCAACGGAGTTAGCTGAACAATAAATCTGATACTTACGAAGTCAATAGCAGAAGAAAAAGCACAATCATTGCGGTTTTTGCATCTTATTATCAACACTGGACCTTCACAACCTGCAGCGAGGTCAGTTAAGGTCATCATCTGACGTTGCGATGACATGGAAACTACGGGAAAACATTTCTAACTCCTGGCTGAGATTGAATGTCAGATATGTTTTCCCGTAGTTTTCATGTCATCGCAAGGTCAGATGATAAAATCTCATCTTGAAGCCGCCGCCGGGCGCGTCGAGCACGTGGTCACGCGAGAATATTATTCACGTGACAAAACTTTCTATGTGTAAAACAGCCAATAACGGATGAATATAACTCTTTTTTCTGTGACGGGAAAAAAGTTTGGCATTTCATCCCTGTTGGCGGGTTATAAAATGTCACTTTTCATAAATTACTTTTTTCCCGGATATATATCACATATATATACACTGTTGATGGCTTATTTTGTTGTGCTATAGTTCCGAAAAATGAGTCAATAATACCGTCTCCGAGAAAGAACTGCAAGTCCTTTTATCTTCCATTCGACTTCGCCGTTACGAATATTACTAAACAATCACAAAATTCGCAATTTTCTGAAATCAAATCACAGAATTAGACTGACAAAATTAGACTGACAGAAGTGACATCAGATATTTGATTACTTCAAATGAATGATAAAGATGCCTACAACGCGGTGACCCTACTGTTAAGAACTTAAAATTTCACGTCGATAATTTTCAGATTTCAAAATAATGTAATATCTTCTCAATATTGATTCGTCCTTTCTTCTGTCACAGAAAAAAATAGTGTATTATACACGGGAAAAATATTAGATTTTAGCTCACGGTTTGTTGTCTCCCTCCGCTACGCGTCGGGAAACAACACAACCTGGAGCTAAAATCTACTACTTTTTTCCCTTGTATAATAAATAACTATTATTCATCATTATTCCCGGTTATTTTATTTTTTTAATGTACTTCTTGTACTTGAGTTTTATGAACCGTGTTTCTCCCTTTCTTTCTGTGTTTTTCAATTATCTCTGAAAGAACAGAAGATACTTCATGCTCATCTTCTGGAGATATAAGAAAATGCTATAAAGAAAATACATTGTAATTTTAAAAGCAAACTTGAAACACGAATTTAACATGTTTCAATTTGTTTCTTGGGATTATTTCATTTCATGGGATAAATTTATTTGGTTCAGCAAGTCCTGGAGTATGGAAAATGAATACATGAATATTTCACTGTCAGCATATCTCCAACGTAAAATACCTCTGTTCCTCAAGATGGATTGATCTTCATGACAACCACAGTACAATACTACAATTCGTTTCTGGTATCTCGGTTCTGAAATAAAAATGAATATTCCTAATCAACACAACAAATAAATTATGCATTATAGACCGTTTCCTCAAATGAGAAGTACTCACCTTTAGTGTCTCTCAGAATATTCAAATCATCATATGATCAACTAAAACACAAAAACTTGCGCGCAAAATATTAGGCAGACACAATTCTACATCCAGTGTGGCCTTGTCACCCACCTATCTACATAGTATTAATATAATTGAAGTTGAACTTGTGTGTACATTCTTTTATATATTATGAAAACCGTAAATGCATATATCTTGTATATCATGCATTCATTTGTGATGTTGATAAAAAAGAGTGTTAATGCAATATTAAGCTTCGTCCGTGTCAGAATCATAGATTACATCAACCTTGTCCAACACCTTTTCCAATATCGGTTTGAAAAGCGTCAAGTTGGTTTTAAAAAGTATCAATTGTATTTCAAATCAGTCATTTTAATTTGAAAAAGTATCAAGTGTATTTCGAAATTAAAAAAGTATACAATGCATTTCAAAATTATCAATCCTATTTCAAAATGTGTCAATAGTATTGTAAAATAGTCATTTTAATTTGAAAAAATTCCATTTCAAATTCAAATGAAGCATTTCAAAATACATTTGATATTTTTGGAAATACAAATGACTATTTTGGAACTTAGTGTTGGTTTTTGAAATTAATTTGATAAATTTGAATTACATCTGATACTTTTTTGAAATCGAAATGACTAATTTGAAATACAATTAACGCATTTTGAAATTGAATTAATAATTTTGAAATACATTTGATACTTACTTATTCGAAATACAAATTATGCTTTTAGAAATGCAAATGATTATATAATTGTAGAAAAGGTGTAGATCTATGTAGTGAAACCCTCAAATGAATGAACGAATTTCACAGCCTTCAACTGCTACACAAAAATCTTCATACTTAGTTAATACAGGCTGTTAAGGTTTCTAATTTCCCTACTATTATTTTATGTCATGTGTACGTTTCTTTTTTTTTTCATAATCATAGTAATAGTTATATTCGCTTTTTTTCTATTATTTACATTTACTGAACATGTAAGGTCAAATCATTTATTCCCTGTTTTCAAAATTAAAAGTACTTGATTTTCGCGCGCATGAAAGTGAACTTCCACTCCATATGAGCATGTGCGAAAAGAACACCCATCAGCTCAGCAACGGGAGCTACCATATGATTTTGGAGCTTATCGAAGTGACAAACGCAACGTGTTTTCGTGAAATTCTTCGTTTTGTTTAACAAAACCCTCTACACTCGCGAGTGCATGCATACCAGAGGCTTACATATAGACATTTTCGCGCTTGAACCGCCGCAAAAGAAGAAAAGGAGCTGAACAAGGTAGGTGAAAATTCTTTCCCGCAAATTTTCATTCAAGTTCATTGTTGAACAAGTATTTTGAGACTGTTATACTTTTACCGCCACACACGCTTTTATGTAACTAACCAGACCTAACCTAGTTTATACAAGAAGAAAAAGCGTAATTTTCTACAAAAAAACGCAATGGCGCAAAATGAAGTTAAAAGGCGTTATTATTACACTGTACCTTCACAGCCTGCAACTTATTGATCGGCTGCCCGAACGCCTTCCTCTGCGCCGCGTACGCGACCGCCACCTCCAACGCAGCCTGCCCTATTCCCAGCGCCTGCGCGGCGATGCCGACTCGCGCCTTGTCCAGCTGTTCCATGGCCATCTTGAAGCCGCCACCGGGCGCGCCGAGCACGTGGTCGCGCGGCACCCGCACGTCCTCGAGGATGAGGTTGCAGGTGGGCGAGGCGCGGATGCCGAGTTTGTCCTCTTTCTTGCCCAGGGAGACACCCGGGGTGGGCAGCGGGACAAGGAAGCCGGTGATACCTGGAAAGGAACCGTACGATGTGTAGACTGGTAGGTAGTGAGAAAGAAGCGTCTGGAGACAGGTAGGGTCCCTTAATGCAAACTGACGTACAGGGTGTGCCTCTTTAAATGGAACCCCCCCTTAACTCTTATTTTTTCGGAGATATGAAAAAATGAAAAAGTTGTTTGAAACGACCCAAACTTTTAAAAGCGCATCAACTTTGATTTACAAAAATATATACGAGTTGCATATTCGGATGAAGAATAATTGAGTTATTGATGATCAAAGTTGACCAAAATACCGCTTCATGAATTCCCACTTTATATCATCATATCACCATGTTCAAGGTGAGCATTGAAGAAATATTCCATGGAAAAGTCAATAAACTACAAATCATTATGTGGATAGATTTGGTATCACACTATAACAGTAACGCATGCGTAGATGTCGAAATAGCATCAAGAGTTCTTGACAAAAAAACTTGAATGAATCTTCATCAACAATATTTATTGAATGAACTATATGAGATTGTGAATACACATTAGAGCTATCTACAACAAATTTTCAAAAATTCCGCCATTCTGGTCAATGCAGAGTTGTTACCTTGCTATAAAATTTTGGCGAACCCTTTCAAATAATACTGGATCATTATTCAATAATTGAATCTCTTCTGTTATTTTATTTTTCAAGAAGTCAGTATCCGGAATATCATGTTTATAGATCTTGTCTTTCAGCGCTCCCCACAGGAAAAAATCACAAGACGTCAGGTCTGGGCTACGGGGCGAGTAAAATATTGGTCCTCGCATTCCAATCCAAGTGTCATAACTCTCATTGAGGTAGTTCGTGACTTCGATTCCATTGTGAGGAGGTGCACCATCCTGCTGCCATACTACCAATTGGTTTCGTCTATTCAAAGGGATTGCTTCATCAAGCAAGTTTTCAATATCAAGATTATCAAGAAGATGGGACCAATTACTTTAGTGTTGTAAACACTGCACCAGACATTTACACTGCTCCGGCCTTGTTTTTCAATCAGTTTCATTACTCTCGGATTAACCGTAGCCCAACTATGCTCATTTTTCCTATTAAACATTCGTGAAGTTGAAAATGAACACTCATCCGTGAATAAAATATCCTTAGTAAAATTTTCATCACGATTATGTCTTTCAATTATTTCATGACAAAATCGTAAACGGTTTGGATGGTCTTGAGGAAACATCTAACAGGGTACGGACAGATCATTGCTCCTTTCTCTTTTGATCATCTAGAGACTTTGGTTTTGTGTATTGGCGTCCCTGATATGACATTGCTGTCACGTCACATTCACATGCGTTAAAAGAGATCTTAAAAAAATTCATACTTTATCTTAATACATTTTCAATTCAGTTTTGGAAGGATGGTAAAATGTGCTGCGTTAGGATGTATCAATCAGTTGGTCGGCAAATTTGAATTTATCAGCTTTCCATCAAATGCAAATGAACTTAGAACTTCGAAAGTGAAGTGACCGAATGGGGAAAATTGGTAAAATATTCGAGGTAAAACTAATACGAAATCACATATCATACTTTCTCATTGTGCCTATAATAATTATCCACTCCACAAGTTTTTGAATGCATTTTAGTAGAAACAGTTTTGATTAAAACGGAGGATTAAAAGAAGATGCATATGCCTTACCATTTGAAAAATTATACCTACATTCAGGAAATATTAAAAGTGTTCGTGAAAAATTGCAGAAATGATTCGCAACATAAATATACAGTGTGTCCATTTAGTGCGTAATTCTTCGATATCTCGAAAGTCATAACCTATAGAGAAAAACTTTGGAGAAAAAACTTTTTCAGTTACTAAATTTGCGCATTACAAAATTGTTTTCAACATTACTGGGTGTTTTATAAAAGCAGGGCAACTCGAAGAAGAGTTTTTTTAAATGGAACACCCAGTATTGTTCATTCGGAATTAATTCCGTCGATGTTCACCTTCACATCGCTGTAAAAAAAATTGAAATCGGTTGCGGAATTGTCAAGTTATAATTGATAAATCTATTTTTACCATTATTGAAGAGTCATGTTGAATTGGGCATGGTATATTCATTAATTCAAATTTTGAAAATATTTTTGGCATACGGTAGATGCAAGGTCCAACGTAAACCAATCCTGTAATTTTGCGACATCTTCTTGAACAGGGTGCTCAATTTTGCATTTAGAATTTCGCAAGATTCAGATGACATTCATCAGAATTTTTCAAACAGAACACCCTGTATTTTTATTCAAAAATTCATTCCGACATCTTTCGCCTTTTTATCGCTGGAAAAAAAATCGGAATCGGTTGCGGCGTTGTCAAGTTATGGTTGATTTCCTTATTTTTACTACTAATTCGGGGTATTTTGTACGTCATAGTTCTTTCATTCATTTGTATTGTGGAAATATTGCGTTGCTACGGTATAATCAAATTTGTTCATTGACCATTCATATATTTTTTTACAAAAGGAACATTAACAGGCTCTCAAAGTTTGAATTTTTTTTCGAAATATTTGTGTAATGACCTGTCAAACATCGCCACAATCAAATATATCTTGGATTGATTCGACATTTTGCTGGATTCCTTCCCAAAAGCCGCGTAGTAGAGACATATTGTTTGAATCATTATGTTTACCTTCTTCAAGTTAAATGGAGATTTGGATTGTGGGAATAATGACAATAAAAATGACCAAATTTCAAAAAATTGTCCTGATTTTCGCAATCCGCATCTTCATTGTTTGTATTGTAGAAGTTATTTCAAAGACAGGGGTACAAATCACCCTGAAATAGTAGTAAAAATAAGGAAATTACTCATAACTTGAAAACGCCGCAATCGATTTTGATTTTCTTCTGCGATGAAAAGTCGAATGGTGTCGAAATAAATCCGTGATGAAAAATACAGGGTGTTCCATTTGGAAAATTCTTATGATCGTCGTCTGAATGTTACGGTATTCAGAATGTAAATTTTAGCACCCTGTAGAGGATTATCTCGCAAGATCACTAGATTGGTATACGTGAGACCTTGCTACTACTCTATGCCAAAAGTATTTTCAAAATTTCAATAAATAAATATATCATACCCAATTGAACATGACCCTTCAATAGTAGCAAAAATAGGTTTATCAATTATAACTTGGCATCGCCGCAACCAAATTAATATTTTTTTACAGCGATGTAGAGCTGAACTTGATCGGAATAAATTTCGAATGAACAATACTGGGTGTTCCATTTGAAAAAACTCATGTTGCCCCGCTCTTATAAAACACCCAGTATTGTTGGAAATATTTTCGAAATGAGCAACTTCAGTAACTGAAAAAGTGTTTCCCCTAAAGTATTTCTCTTGTGATAATTTTCGAAATTTTGAAGAATTACGCACTAAATGGACACACTGTATATAGAGCACACATGACATATGAGCACATTATTTTAAATACCTACACACAATTTTTCACAATTTCTGGACCATAAGGCTTAGTCTCTGAAATCAAAATTCATTTATTGATAGGTACTGACTAAAAACAGTCCATTTGGTGAAACGTATTAAACTTTCAGAAAAATTTGCTCACTGCCTCACAAAGATTATGCTATGGAGTTTAAAAATCATAAACTCGAAAATTATCATTATCATTTGGATATAATATGTAGAGTTGAATGACAAATTACATATGGAAATAACGTATGATACGCCAATGTCCTCAATATAACCTAAAAAACAACAAATGTCAGAAATCTAGTGTTTATCCCCAGAAATGAATGAAGATGGAACTATATAACTGTTTCACAAATACTTTAGAGTGAGAGAAGACGAGGATCTGTCCGAACCCTGTCAAGATGACAAATACGCCAATTTACATCAAGGACCCTAGAGACAGGGTACTATAAATAATCATCACGGTGGGGAAACGTTGCAGCGTGGGCACAACGCGTTTATCCTTTCTTGATACTATAATTTTCATGTAAGCTAATGGCGTAACTGACTGTGTGTTCGAATATCTCGCCGGCGATCCGCCTGCGACAGCAGTGTTTTCTCAAGTGATTTTCCGAAAAATTAACATTTTGGGAGGATGGATCATTAAGGACAAGTAATATTAGATTGTTACAAAAAAGTAGTTACCTTTCTTATGCAGAAGGCATATTTCCCTTCCTCCATGAAAAAATAATTGTGGAGGCATTTACTGTTGAGGCCGATAGTGGTTCTCTATTTCAATGATGTTTTTTTATGGATTGGCCGAAATTTTCTGTAGACTTGATTCTGCGCCAATTAAGGATATTGGTTAATTATACCTACCAATAATAATTATCATTATTGTTTCACTGCAACGTTTGGCTCGCGCGTGGTTGGGTATAGAGTGACTTTATAATCGAAGTGACGACAATATACATCCAAATGGCTGCCATTTCTGGAATGTCTAGTAACTGAATAGCTGAAAATCTGAAAGTTATCTTCAATGCAATAATGAATTTGCGCCTTCGAAGAGCCCACCTGATGTTAGGTATAGATATTTGATATTCTCATTTCATCACCTAAATAATCTGGGACTTAGGAGTCTCAAAAGACGGATTCTAATAGTCAATATACAAGGTACTGACTTATAGAGTTTCATATCTGATTGTTGGATTTTTTGTGTCCAAAGTGCAAAAAACAAAGACAAAGAATTGACAAAGTGCAATAGAATGCGTAGAATTGAATGGAGAAAACAAGACAGGTGAATGCACCTCCATATTAAAGGTCTGACCAATGAAAAACTCAATTTATAGTCAGTCTAGTTGGGTGGTCCGCGCTGTAACGTTCCCCAATCCCGATGATTATTTGTAGTACCCTGTCTCTACACGCTAGTAGGAAGAATGAGAGCTAACATTATTATTCGCGATAGAAAATAACACGTCGCCCCACCTGAATGCAGCAACTTGAACACTTCTGAGCGGTTTGTTATGATGGTATGACCAATAAGCACAAACAAAAAACAAATGTCAACCAATGAAAACAAAGTGCTTTCAAGAAC